TAACTGCTGCGTGTGCATGATACAAGCACACAGTGGTGTCAGACCTGGGCACTCACACGCAGCGTTGACTACTCCCTCCTCCAGGATCACTTACTCTTCAGTTCCAGTTCCACACACACTTATTATCTGTGAGCAGAGTGGATGGAGCAAGAGCAGACCTTCCTGATTAGCTGGAAAACCCTGAGCTCGAGTTAGAGAAGGCAGAACTTTGGATGGCTTCTAGGGTGCCTATAGGAGAAAGGAGGGGGGTATGGGAGAAGATGGCAAGGCCAGGTATAGATGAGTTGAGCTTAAGTTTCTTCGATAGGTCGGTACGTCCACAGGGGGACAGCCATCTTTTTTCCAGAACATGCCATATGCTAATCACTGTGCAAAATGGCTTGCAAGCATGCATTCTCGTGTAATTCCCAGAGATAAATGTGGTAGGCAGGTGCCATGATTAGCCTTATCTGAAAGAGGAGTAAACGGAGGCTTGGCGAGATAAGTTGTCCAACTTGCCAGAGGTGACAGTCAGTAGGTGGCTGAGCTTCAGGCAGCTTTTACTCATTGACCAACGTCTGACAGTTAACCAACGAAAATGTGTGTTATCTTCTATGAACAACCTCTTTGTTGTTCCTAGATAGAATTCTGGAAAATATGAATATTTAAGGTGTAAGCAGAGGAAAAGGAGTACTCTATGAAGACCATATGAAATGGTCAGAGAAACAGAGGAGCAGGAGAAGGAAGAAGAGAGAAAGCTCAATGCTGTCCATTTCAGCGGAAGCATCTCGGGAGAAAAGGCCCAGGAGTCAGTATGGGACTTGCTGTGTGTGTCCCTCGGCGTTAGCTGAAGCCGTCTTCGTGGTGTGTGCAGGCAGTCTGCAGAGTTTGGAAGAGTAGATGAGCCTGGGAACTGAGGCCTGGCTGCATATGCTGAGCACTCAGGCCTGCCACAGAGTACTCTTTACCACCTCTCCACTGAGGACCGCTTTCAGGCCCACCTCCTTTGACACTGCAGAATTTCAGAGTAATTCACTGGGGCTACTGGGAGAAGTAAGAGTGGGTGGAAAGCACTCACCAGGCCTAGAAGGCATATCCCTAAAGTGCCACTCGAGAGAGCAAGAACCAGATGGAAGAGCAGAGAGCTTTTCTCAGGTTTGGCCTGCAGTCTCCGCTTCATAAACCGTAAACCATGGGGACCCTGCTGTCACTATTTTTATGCATCTCGCTAAATGGCCAGTTGTAAGCAGGACTGTAGCCCTACTCCCACAGCAGGGTATCTGCATGAGGCTGGTACTGTCTTCATGTGTCATGGAACAGGAAGTGCCACTCCCGACTTCCGCCTCAGGGAGCACTGCTTAGGGTAAGGGCGCTCTGCAGTCAGATGAGGCAGTATTCTGCCAGCTTTCAGTGACAGGGCGACCCAGGTCAGTAATCAGTACGGACCCCAACTGTGAGCAGGGCCCTTAAGAGTACTTGCTGGCAACCCGCCTCCTCCCTCCTGTGGTCTGGCCTCTTGGCAGCTTTCCCTGGAGTCCCAGTTTTGCTCTCTCCTCTTGTGGGAAGAACCCTGGGGGTGGCACCAAAGAAGATGAGAGAGCCACTCACAGACTCTGGAGGGTCAGGAGGAACAGAGATCTGAGATCTGGTTAGTACCATCATCCAGGGCTTCAAAGGTTCATAAGTAGTGACAGACAGATGGAAGTCACAGCTAGAGCCAGGAAAAGCCTCCACATGCTGGGAGATCTTGCTAGAAGCGCTCTCTTTCCAACTCCCAAAAGGAAGTCACATGGGAAGCAGACCAGTAATGAAGGGGCTGCAGGGCCAACAGGCTGTTCTCCTGGGCCTTGGAGTTCCCAGGCTGGGAAGGTGAGGGTCGCCTCAGCCCAGGCTCCCCAAGGCCCTCTCCCAACATCTTTCTGCCAGATGGTGGTTCTCAAATTCTCCCGTGGTTGGTCCTGCTGGCCCGGCACCCTGAGCAGAGAGGACTTGGGTCCACTAACTCCCTGGCTGCTCTCCCCTGGAGCGAGCTGGCCAAGGCTGGGCAGGGGCCTGCTGGCCCCCCGGGAGGAACCTTCCTCCCTTGCTCATCCATGGGCACGCTCTCTGCCCTGTCTGGAATTTCTCGCTGGGTTATCCTGATGGTTCTCAATTACAATCCAGGATCTCAACATGTTACACATGCTGTGTGTAAACATAATCAGAGTGTGGGTCCGATCCATTTGTAATTAATATAAAAAAGGAAAACACACATGCGCACCAAAACAAAAACCGAAAAAGGGATCCATCTGCTCTGCAGTGTTTCCCAGAGGACCCTCCCAACGCGTCCCCACAGCCCACCCCGCGGCCAAGCTCTGCATGGTGCAGTCAGGGCCAGAAGCCACCTTGCTGGGTGGCTGCAGCGAGGCTCACCGACTCACCGAGGAGCGAGGAGCAGCCGCTCGGGAGAAGACGCAGTGAACCTTTGGCGTTCGGCTCCCTCCACCGGATCCCGGGAAGGCGAGCAGAGCCGGGAGGACGGACGAGGCCTGCTTTGCCTTCCCCACGGCCGCCTCGGGTCCACTAACACCGGGGACTCTTCCCCGACTCTGTGCCCCAGTACTCAAAGCCACCATTCCAGAGCCGGGCTCCAGGCGTGGCCTCCAGGCCGGCGGTGGCTGAAGCGGCGACAGTGGCGTTGCCCGGGCGGGACTAGCCCTTCGCAGTCGGCTGGAATTTGAGCTCTCGGTTTGAGAGCCGTTTGGGAGAAATATGCGTATAGAAATATGTACAAACTTATATGTGTGCATACATGTATATATATAACGTGCGTTACACAGGTGAATGCATGTCGGCATAGCTGGCGGACAAATGTTTGCGAATGTGCGATGCTGGTCGGATAGGTCCTTAACGAGTGGGTGCTTTACAGGAAGCGCCGGATCCCAAGGTAGGACGCAGCCGAACAGACGTGCGGACGCCTCACCTTGCTCCCCGAGGCCGTGACCTCCGCCCCGCGCCCTTCCTCGGTCACCGACCACGCTGGCCACAGCTGGCAACAGAGCTACTTCCCCCGAAGGGGATCCCCCGCGCCCGGAGGCCGGAGGTCGCCAGGACTTCGGGGGCAGCAGCCTGTCTTGGGAATGCCCGAAGCCCTGGCCCCTACCCAGGCCTCTGTCACAAAGGGCAAACCCGTAGGTGTCGGGGACCAAAGGCTTGGTGAAGGCGAGGCTGAGTAAATGCCGTGGAGAACGCAAGACTAGGAGCCCGCCGGGAGCGGGCTGGGGAGCGCCCGGCCGCCGCTCGCGGACTCTGCGGGACTGAGTGGTCCCGGATAAGGGCGGGAGCAACTGCCCCTCGGTCCGCCCGAAGCCGGGCAACGCGTCCACGCCGGGGTGGCATCAGCGCTCCCACACGCGCTCCCGCTGTGCCAGGCCCGCCGCGTGCGCGCCCCCACGCGCGGCCCGCTCGCCAGACCCTAGACGTGGACAGAGGTGACCTGCCTGGAGCTGGAAGCGCTGGGGACACCGAGAGCCTGGCTCAGCGCTGCGCGCCGCGCGGGCGGGGCACTGGACCCCGGGTCGCCGGCGCAGGCAAGGGGGTGGAAAGGGGGGAGTGGGTGGACTAATGATGAAAAAGTCTCCTGCGTCCCGGCTCCTTAATTAAATGCATGGAAAGAGCCGAGGCGAGCACATCTGGTTTCAATCTGCAGCCCTTTGATGGCATCCACTGTTCTTTTCCCAGATCTGGGCTCCAAGCTCCGGGCTGACTGCGGCCGGCCCGTTGGAGCCCAGAGACCATTTACGCACACTCGCACCCTGCTCTGCAGTCGAGACTGTCGGCTACGGGAGAAATGATAGAAAAAAGGAAAATAATCAAGTAAAATACCTAGCAAACAAAAGCGTGAGGATACGCGCGTGCATGTGAGCACGTTTAAAGAACAGAAGACGCCAAATGAGCGTTCGGTATTTTACTTACTCGTCATATAATAGGGAGCCATTGCTAATGAGTTTACTAAAGCTGTTACAAATTCCAACAGGTCACGAAAAATCCGTCCGCACCTCCTTGTCCCGGTCCAGGCAGGACTCAGAGCCAGACCGCGGACTCGGGCGGGAGCCGGCCCCGCCGCGCCCCCGCTGGACCCAAGACCCGCTCGCTCCAGGAGGGCTGGTCCGCGCCGAATCTGGGCACCCGACCTCCCGCTCAGCGTCGGCCTGGCGGGGGGGGAAGCGACCTCGGCCTCACAAAGAGCTTAGGAACTGGGCGAGGGTGAGGGACTGTAAGGACGGGCTCCCAGCGCCTTTCCCCCAGCTTAATAAACGCGCAAACGTCCACGCGTCCGGGACCCGGATTCCGACGGCGCGGACTGTCCGGCGCAGAGTCGGAACTCCAGCCCTCGGTGCGCGGGCGAAGCGTGGGAGAGCCGCGCAGAGCACCCGCTCCCTCCCGTTATTTTATTACGCTATTTAATAGGCCGGGTCTTCAGAGCCAAAGTGAGCCTGAATATGCTCGCTCTCCCCCAGCCCCGAACTGTTAGAACAGCGGGAAGCATTACAAAGGTGGGGGCAAAGGGAGCGAGAAACTGATTGTGATAGTGGTGGACTTTTCCCAACAACTTTCCCCGCAGCTGCTATCAAAACACGCAAATGAGACTTTCCAACAGGATCTTAAACAAATCTGGAGGAGTTCATGCCGAAGCAAAATAATCAGCCCGTTTGAAGGGACTGTGGTTTCGGTTTGTCTTTTCTCCCCGTGATCCCGTTGCAAGAGAATGATAATTAGACCTTTTCTTTAAAATCCAAAGGCGCTCTCCGTTCTTACCTC